TTCGTTTATTGATTTTTTATTTATATTGTTTCGTTATATATATATATATATATATATATATATATAACAAAACCTTTTTTTTAATTGAAAAAAAATCTTACGTTGCTGGGAAATTATAAGCTTTTAAGTGCAACCTAGAGCTTTGGTGAAATCATGAGCATTTTTCGGTTATTCTGGTAAAGATTTATTAATTTTGTTCATTCAAACTTTAGAACCGTAACCATGAATAACATTTCTAAGACCTCTGTTTTTATTTTTTTACTCGAAATTTTTCAATAATAAAATTATCAAATATTTTACCATTCTACAATCCTGATTAATGAATGCACCAACTTTTGATGTGACTTACCAACACACTTTAGCGCATTTCTTTTTAAAGGAGGACTTCTCGAAGTGAATCGATTTTAACAATTTGAATTCATAGTTCAACAAAAAGTTTCAATTGTTGCAAACTTGGTACAATTGTATTATTACTTTTTACTGTGATACTTAAAGTGCGGTTACGGTTCCAAAGTATGAAGGAACTACATTAATAAAAATTCACCAGGATAACCAAAAAATGGTGATAATTTGTCTGAAGCTCTAGATTTTTTTGTGCAGATTTCTGTTTTTCTAATATTAATGGCTTTTGCTTATTTAATATTATGTGCTGTTTTCTTCATCTGTGACACTGTTCTTTCACTTTTAATCTCTTATAGCTAGTCTCCACGTCCTTCGCTTTAGGTCTTAATATAATGGGCAATGGGTCATGAACTTCATTTTTTTCACTTTGATCAATATATTTCTAGCTTCATGACCAGGATTACACATTCAAAATATCGTTGCTTTTAGCATATATGGAGAATAAATATGATTCATATTTCAGTCTGGTTAAAATATTCCTTAATTGTATATTAGTATTAATAAAAACATAACTTTTAATTTATATTTCAATCATACAATAAGCACCACAATACTTAAAAATCGTGTAATTTATGTGATTACACGATTTGGTTTCTAAGTGAAATATACTTTACTATCTATCTCGAAGTTAGAAAGTGTAAAAAGACCGTGATAAAACTAATTTCTATAAACAAACATTACGAAACGCATTACTGAATTGTAAGCAACCCTCTCAATAATCTCAAAAACAAATCATATGCAGTATTTTATTCGATAAGAAGTAATTGATAGAATAATCTGAATCAATTATAAGCTTAAAATTATCACCAAATATGTAATAATTGAATCGATGCAATATTTTAAATATTTTGTAATTTAGTCAAGTACTAATTAGAAAAAAATAGTTACTAATAAAATTACTTTTAATGATTTCAAAATATTTAAAAACTTAAGGTGAAACACTTGAAAAGTGTAAAGAAACTTACGATCAGTGTTAAATTATGTGCCTTGAATAGCTAATTTTTAAAAACTATGGGTTTTGTTCAAAACTTTCGTTAAGAATGAATTAACACAATGAATTACATTATATTAGTTGCTGTGGATCTATAGACATGATTTTAGTCTTTATTTTCAAGAAAAATCAGACATGTTGGATTGTCGACTAAATGCGATTGATATTTTTTTGTTTTTTGGGGAAATATTAACCGCTGTTATTTGAGGATGAATATACATTTTTTTACCTTGCAATTTTTAACTTAAATAATTACTATTCTAATGTTGGTTAAGTAATTTATACAAATACGTATATGGTATAGCTGGGCTTAAAGGTTCACGGGTAAAAAGTGTACTACCGATATCTAAAAACAAGTAAAGTTAAAAAAGCATTAACAATATTATTTGATGGAAGAAAATGTATAACCAGCTATCACTGTTCGAAAATCTATAAAAAAAGAGTTTTTATTCGTTGTTAGTTTTTTTTGGTTGTGAGCAACGTTTAGTTTACGAGACTTTAATATAATTTTTAAGTACACATTATTTAATTGTTCTATAAGTTGTACTGTTAATTTAAGGGTTTTTTATATAGCCTATATAAAGGCTTACACCTTGCTGGAGTAAAATGACCAATTGAACCTTTACCCTGGCATAGATGTAAACAATAAAAAATACTAAATAATTTTAAAAAAGCAACTTTACATAAGATAAATTGAAAAAATAGTTATTCCAACTCTGCTGATGAATATTTCTGACGAAGTACCAGATCATGGTTATATACATTATAATCTCTGTAATAAATGTACCCATGATTTTGCATTGGTTGTATATGTAGCTTTTATTTTGTAAAATCCTTTCAAAATTAAGAATTACATATTGGGCCAGTTTGTCCCCTGGCCGTTTCTTTTCACCCAGCCTATGGGGTTAAAAGAACCAGGTGACAGTTTTTGAAAAACAGCTACTATGATAAAACACTTCTACAATCAGAAATTAGTTGGGTTTTACTGAGCATAGTCAGATAGTTGTTTGTTAGATATAATTGGTTCGATTTTCACGATATAATTGCTCAAAGTCAAATTCGACCTTTGTGCCTCGCCTTAACCTATGTATATGTATGTATATATATATATATATATATATATATGCAATTATTATTTGTGTAGTGTAAAAGGAGCCTTCCTGGTAATAACATAATAGTGGGTTCGATCCTACGTTATGCAACATGATATTGTGCAGAAATATAGATTAAACTATTGCAAACATTAAAAAACATATTAAAATTTGTTTCCAATTAAAAATACATAGTCGATTCATACGCTGCGATGTAAAATAGCAAGGCTAAACTTTCTCAGCTGCGAAGCACACATAATTATGTGTTAGATCCTGTTGTATTATTTAATAGTCGAGATTATCGATTGTTATGTGATTTATCTGTTCAGTGTCGTGCGAGATTGTGAAAAGCAGGATAGTTTGTAAGATATATTTTGATATCACATATTTAGTTTAACGTATTAAGAAGCGGATATGTCAATATAGTAGCCTGAGTATAATTGTTTTCCAATATAATCAACACGCATGCAAATCTCTATGCTTTCTCTTTGTTTTCTATTATAACATTTTTATGAGCATCTCTTTACATTTGTCCACATACGACTGTTTTCAATTGAATGCAATTCGAAAAGCAAATAGCTTTTTACTTATTTCGTTAGTGTATGCGTTACGCTTTACAAGATGCTACTGAACTGATTCATTCATGAGAGCGCGATTCGATATGAAAGTAAATTCAGTTGTAATTATTTCAAATTGTATCATAGCCATTATGTAAATTGAATTTGATATATTAGAACACAATATTATTTTCGCTCATGACGCTATTATTATATCTGAAGGCGCTGATGATTATTTTATCTCTGAATAACAGTAATTAGGCTAACCTATCATTTTTTAATTTGTATTCCAATATTTAGGTATATTTCGAATTGTTTGAAATACTCTATTAAGAATTATTAACATTGAACTAATATTTGTTTCTGAACAGTTGTTTTTTTCTAAAATCCAAAAGATGTTTCATTGAGAGCTCATCCTTTTGATGCTATTGTTCATCTCCGATAATGCCACATGTCATTGTCGCTCCAAAATAATTTGAGGTTTTCTATTTATATGAATTATGGGTCAAATGTTCTCTTTTCTATCAAAATGACCACATTCTTTAAATTAGAAATTATTATTTAATAAAAATATAAATATAATATATGACAGGCATCTATAATACAAACTATACAAATTATATATATATATATATATATATATATATATATATTAAACATTTAATATTCGTTCCACTCATATCATAAAATTCTATAATATATATATATATATATATATATATATATATATATATATATATATATTGTTATATGAAACTAAATAGTTTCATATAGGTTTGATCCTTTTTATAATACAAATAAAAGATACAATCTAATTCAACTCTATTTAATTTTATAAAATTAATAAATAATAGGTATATAAATACGTAATATACCATATTCTCCTAATTTTGATAAAATCCCTCCTAAAATGATTGAACCTGCTATAGGAGCTTCAATATGGGCTTTTGGTAATAATAAGTGAACAATAAATATTGGTATTTTAAATAAAGAAGTCCCAATAAAAAACATATAATCTAGTTCATATATTAAATATATAAATATAAAATAAAAATAAAAAATCAAAAATAATTCAATGAACTAAATATAAAAAATAATATCACTAATAAAATATTATTTATGATACAAATTTTATTTTATAGTTTATTTGGTTATAAAATACAAAGTGCATATCAAAATAAGCCTACAAATTTACCTACAAATTCTCCAGCCTATCAAAAATCTTACAATCGATATTTTGATCATAGGTAAAAAATTGTTTGTGGAAATCGTAGTAATGAACTTTTTTTATATTCGTATATTTTCGATTCGTATTTGAATGAATTTCAAATTCAAACATATGATCGAGTGTCGCCTATGACTAATGATAGAAAAGATATGTAAGAATATAATTGGGTATTTGATATATTTATTGTCCCATTAAGACAATGGTTTGTGATCGATATCTGACTTACTATACTATTTAGAAATAATGTTATACAATATAATGTCAATCGTTTTGGATGTGTTGGTCCCTGTTTTCCCTGACAATGAGATGTCTGCCTGTCCCTGAACTTGAATCATCTGAAAGCACCTACACACCTGAACGTCTCATTAATGGACTGAATGGTATGGGTGCTACCATACGTGCCGTGTTCTTTAACGTTAACGTATTTTATCACACAAGCTCGTCCGCATCAAAGTTTTTACGATGCGCACGACTGAAACAAAATACACATGTGCGTATTAAAAACCATAAGCGCGAGCGCGAACGGAGACGGCTTTATCATTTTGAAGAAGGAAGGAAACCAATCTGTGGTCGAAACAGTTTAAAAACACCGCGGACCAAACCAAAATTGTCATTGTGCGGATATCCACAAAACCGTCAACAAGTCAAATATACTAATATTGTATATAGTGAAAAAATATCACGGCTTGATTTATAAAGTAATTAGTGATTTTAGTGAATCAATATCAAAAATGAAATTTTTTGTGGTTTTTGCGGTGCTTTCGCTGAGTGGTGCGTTTGTCTCTGCCGAGGAGCAACAGAGTGAAATAACATCATGTCTCAAGAAGGATTCTATTTCTTGTTTGCAAATGATTGTTAGTTTTATTTTTTAATTAATTTACAATATTAGTTTAAAAATCGCAATTTTTTTTTCTTTTTTTTTAACTCAGATGTAATGTTGTGCTAATATATATGATTTTTTTCTCAATATTTAAATCTGAAATGTGCAAAGTCTGCACCCACACGGTGCAGACTTTTTATTTTTTTTACTTAAAAATATTTAGTATTTTCAAACATTCTATTAAATCATTATAATTCCTTTCATTTTTTTAATTCACTCGTGTTTACTAATTTACAGGCTTTCCGTAAAGCCAGAGAATTCTTTAACCAGAAGAGTATTCCTATTTTTGCGGGATTATCTTTGGACAAAAAACCAGTAGAAGGACGTGACGCCAGATCATCTGAAAACATTTTAAGTGAAAATAAAATTGAAGCTTCAGAAGATGTGGAATCACGAAGCAACGCAATTCAATCCTATGTCGCAAACAACTTGGCAAACTTTGTTAACCAACGCTCCTTGAGTGTAAACCTTGTCGATGCGGCCAGAAGTTTAATGGGATTCGATAGCACTGCTGAAGAAGTCATCGAAGTCGAAGAAGATGTTCCCGGAGAGGAAGGTCGTTCCAAGAAGAAGAAGGTCCTCAAGAAGGTCAAGAAAAGCATCCTTCCTTTGTTGCTCGCCATCAAGATGAAAGTAGCCGTTCTCGCCGTCATCACCTTCTTCGGAATTGCTCTGATCGCCAAGAAAGCTTTGTTGGCTTCCCTCATCTCATTGGCCATTTCCGGTTTCATCGGGCTCAAGAAGTTGTTGGCTAAGAAATCTCACCACTATGTCGCCGAGGAAGTGCCATACCACGGCGGATGGTCCTCAGGCGGCGGCTGGGATTACCACGGTGACTCCCACGGCGCATACAGTTCGCCAGTAGCCCAACATTTAGCTTACTCCGGACACAAGGCATCCAACCGGTAAAACTTGCTTGAATTTTCTGTGGCACGGGGTCATCAGGTTACAGCCGCACTCTTTTTCTTTACTCTTGGTACCATATAGTCCATAACAAGACGATGCGGTCCCATCATCGACGACTATATATCACACATTATTTATTTCATTTAATTTATTGTGCTTTTTAGCTGTGCCATGACCATAGCGATTTAGTTGATATTTATTTATTATTCATGTTAGGTATTTATGAGAATGGTTAATGAACATCGTACAATATTATATTTTATGTATATACGATTTCCGAGTAAATGCTACCAATGATTCCAACAGTTCGATATAAGGTTATTAGTCGACTGCAGGAATTCACTTTCTTCTAGTCTATGTTCAGTACAGTCTTCACACTTTATGTGTCGATTAACACTTTTTCATATGTACCCAAATAATATATAATACCACAATATATGTAATAACCTGGTCTAACTATAATATAATATAAGAATCAAGTACAACGATGATTTGTTTCATTTTATAAATATTTATATAATATATTTTTTATAAAATAATCTATCTTTCATTTCATACATCTTTTATTTTCAGTTCGTTTTTATTTTTTCGTTCACTGACACATATAACTTCAAACTGACCACATATGAACTTTTCGACGTGTTCCATTTCAATGTAGAAAGGGTGATGACCTACATGTGATCATTTTTATGTATAAATATATTCGATAGAAATTCAATGATGAGATTTAACGACTTCCACTATAAATCAAATATAATAAACATATTTGAAATAGGACGTACTTTTCACAAATAAAACAATTTATAAATACACAATGCTATTAAATAATAAACAAAATCATATAAGTGATCAATGTAAATTCGAAGCATTCAAATTTCTAACGCACCTGAGTATATGTAAATTAATAAGTCTAATTGTAAGTCATTTTAATAGAGAAAGTTTGTTTTACAGCTACAATTGTATATTTTGTAGATAACAAAGAATTTTAACCAAGTTTTCTCTCATAATCAGAGATCTTTATGAGTATCATATAAAAACTAGAATCAAGAATGGAATATTTTATTTGATCATAAAAAGCATAGAGCACATTCATGTGTGTCAAACTCAAAAACCGTCTCGGGCCAAATAATGTCTATAAGTACCATATGTGAGCCGCGAGCGGTTAACGTTTGTATAACGCGTATAATTTATGATTATTATGACCATTTGCAATTAAAATAAGAGTTTGGCTACAACTCGATGCCGCTTGGTAGGTGTATTAGGTTTTCAGTTAAAATAAACTTTTTATTCAATGAAGTTCTTGCACTTCGTGATGATAGTAATAATGTTTGAATCATCAACATATAATATATATATATATATATATATATATATATATATATATATATATACAAGGTGTCATAACGAGGGACGCCAAAACTGGGTGATAGTATTGGCTTTAACTGTCCTAAAAAAATAAAAAAATATATATTTCCAGTTGTTTGGAAATTATGAGCTTTTAGGTGCAACTTAGAGCTTTCACCATTTTTTGGTTATTGTGGTTAGCTTTTATTAATTGGCCACCGGTGCCCCGCACGAGACTGTTCAACCTGGCGGCACGGGCCACAGAAAAACATACAAAACTTAAAACTTTAAACTTTGAAACCATAATAGTGAATAACATTTCTAGGACCACAATTAAAAAAATAGCACAATTGCCCCAATTTTCAAGAATTAAGACCTTTTGTTGAACTATAAAGTTACATTTTTTTTAAATCGGTTGACTTTGAGAGGCCCATCTTTTAAAAATTCTGTTCTGCAGCATCTATTGATTTATAAACATATATTATACCTGATTTGCTATGTACTACATATTTTTAGTTTTATTTCTAGAAATCTGACTGACTTTTACAGTTATCTTTATTTAATTCAATTTTGTTCTGAATTTCAAAATAAATTTGCATTCTAGTTGAAGTTTACTTTTTAATTCCATTTTTTAAATTCCAACTTATGTTAATTTGAAGAACAGGTAAATAAGTATTTTTACTTGTTAGGATAAAGGTGCCTTAGTCGTGCACCTAACACCTTCTACTAAATAACAACATAGAATTCAAAGGGGGATTAGCTTTTCATTAGTTATTAGTTAGTAGGTCGAATATAAGTATTAAAATAATCCCTAAGTTAAAGAGTAATCTTAATAAAATTATTGTGTGTCTGGATACTAAGCATTCTCAGTGTCCAATTGTAAATGTTTACTTATTGTTAGTCAACTAAATAATTCTATTTAACATAGCCGGGGTACGACTTAGGGAGCGGGACTATGCAACTTTACCCTATATATATATATATATATATATATATAAGCAATTAAAAATAAATAAATAATTAAAAATATTTTGCCGAAAAAAAAGAGATTTTAAGTTCAGAAAATTAAAATTATAAAAATATTTTTGTATATATAAATTAATTTATTATATCCAAAAAATTAACTTTCATCTTAGTTAGTTGAAAGATATTTGATAAGAGTAATGAAAATCATTTAATTAAAATGTATCCTGCAATCAAACCGATGTGGGATCATATGTAGCAATAGTCTCTTTTCCGAGTCGTGTGTGGCCTAGGTTTCTCGTACTCGAGACTATCTTCTTGTATGTATTTAAATACAATACAATACAGAGTATGAGAATCTATCTTTGCGAATGAAAGGTATCTCGTTTTCTTATCTTTAATTTCTAACTTATTTCTATATAACATATACACAATTTCCACGATTTCTGAGAACTAATTAATTAATACATTAACCTTTATTTTTTAACGTGTTATTTGTTTCTTTGAAGCGACTTCAACTTTGAAGCTGTTTTTGAAGTTTTAGTCTTGAAAAACTCCATTCAGTCATCCGTAGCAAAAGCCCTTTTCGAAAGGCACCATGGATCTTCTTTATTTAAGTTTATGATTGAAAATTCATTAGTTAAAATAATATCTTACTTGCAATGAAAAGATTTCAAGTTATTTTGTCGCTTTATAAATCCTGAATTTCAAATTAAATTCAAACTAGTTAAAAGTGGCATTTTGTCTTAAGTCAAGTTACCAAAACTTCCCTATAGGTGTAATATATTAATTGACTTAATCAAACGAAATTGAGAGTTAGATATATACATAAATTTTGCAACTGTTTATTTCGAAAATATTGTTCTTGCTTTCATTTAAATCTATCCGCATTTATAATGTGATTGTGACTGTAATTATATTAATTACATTATATGTCCTGTAGCTTTATTGTTCCAAAATTTTTATATATACATCAACCAATTTTCGTAGGACTGTTTAGTTCATAAACTTTATCACAATGTCAAATTTCATGAAAAATGTAGAAACATTATTAAAAAAAAAAAATTTGTGAAATATCAAACATCTGCTATAAGAAAGTACTGGCACAATTACATATATCATGTACGTTATTCTTGATGTTATTAACTTCCCGTAGGGTAAGTTATAGTAATCGCAAAAAAAATCGAAAATGAAAATTTTTGCATTTCTCGACGTTTCAAAGGTTTTTGAATATTTTGGCATACCTTAGAAAAAATGGATGTATTTGTGTGTGTGTGTGTGTGTGTGTATGTGTGTGCGTGTGTGTGTGTGTGCGGATACAAATTTTTGTCGACGATTCCGTCAAAATGACATTTTGTCTCTATGCAGTTAAAACAGTACGATTGCTTTGAAAAAATGTTCTGAATTTCCAAACTATGCCAAAATAAAAAAAACTTTTTTTTTAAAACAATTTTTTTTTCAATAAAAAGTAATTTTTGTCGAATTTATAGTTTCTCAAAAATCTAATTTTTTTGAAGTAATTTTTTTTCAAAAATGTTAATCGTTTTTAAAAAAATAATAATTTTTGGTACGGGAAGTTTCAGCAATTTTCCTTAAGGCACGATGCCATGTGCCCCACTAGTTTGATCAATTAATGGTAACATTTTTTACACAAACTAGAGAAGTTCGTAGACTGCTCTCTCAATTTTTTGTTTATTCTAAAGCCATTTCTAATGGCTTGGCCGATTTTCTCGCAAAATTAATCGCGGCTCCTCCTAATCGAGTTCGTTCCAACGGCTTTTAAATTTGCAAAATTCAATGTTTGACTTATCACATCACAAAAGCGACTTTTGACACTTCTGACTATCATATTTTCTCAAACTTTGATGAATTTTTAAAATTAATCGACTTGTCGTTGGGACGTAATTTTAGTATGTTCTTTAAGACCATGATATCTATCAACATAAAAAGTTTCATCAATTTTTTTTTAACGGTTAATTACAAGAAAACGACCGGGCCGATCTTTACCAAAAACTAATCACTGTCTTTCTCAACCAATACCTTTTGAACAGTTTTTGAAGTTTTATTTATTTATTTATTTATTTATTTAAATATATAGCCCACAGATTTCTCCAAGAGGACTCAAAAATACAATTATTTGACATGATGAATAACAATTAAAATATATATAGAATTACAATATATAGTTAGTAACATAAAATGCTAAGATAAAATTTCATATAATGCAGAATGTAACAATAATATTTATAAACAGAAAATAATGAGATATTTGAAAGAAAATAAAAAGATTAACTTGTGCAGATGGAGATTATTTGATTAGGTGAAGTGTTGTGAATGTCTATTTCATTATTAATTAAGTTAAAGTTAGAGGACATAAGTAAAATAGGCGAATTTAAGAGAGAATTAGATTTAGGGGTAGGATAATTGAAAAATAATTGTGAACGCGAAGATAGCCTTGGAACATTAAAGGATAGTTGATTGAGAATAAGAGGACAGTCTATAGAATTATTGCAAAGCTTAAATAAGAACATAATTGTACAGATAAATCGACGTGAGGCAAGGGAAGAAATACCAAATTCTTTTAGTAAAGTGTTGTGGTCAAAGCCACGTTCAGGGTAAATTTTATATGTTTTATAATAAAGGTATTTCAGAAATTTTCGCTGAACCTTCTCTATCGCATCAGAGTTGTTGATATGATGAGGATACCAAATAATCGAACCGTATTCTAATTTTGAACGTACAATAGAATAATACATGCAAAGAAGTGCATTGGTAAACTTAAATTGTTTACAATTTCTTAGTATCAAACCTAAAGATTGATGTGCTCTATTGCAAATATCAGTAACATGATCTGTGAAAAACAAACCAGAATCAAATAGAACACCTAAATCGGAAATTTTATTACATCTATCAATGCTGGTGTTAGAAATTTTATAATCAAAAAGTATTGGAACGCGCTTATGTGTAAAACTAAGAATCTTGCACTTTGATATATTTAGATGTAATTTGTTATAGATACACCAAGATTGGAAAAGGTCAAGTTGAGACTGTAATAATAAGCAGTAATCAATAGAATTTATTTTGAGATATAGTTTCAGATCATCTGCAAATAATAAATGTGGACAGTTAATAGTATCAGAAATGTCATTAATAAAAATAATAAATAAGAGTGGACCAAGAATGGATCCCTGAGGAACTCCTGAACTAATATTTTCAATGTTGCTCAAGAATCCATTAAGAAAGACAAACTGCTTGCGATTATGAAGATAACTCTTGAAAAAGTGAATAAGTGAAGAATTAAGACCAATCTTAGATAATTTAGTAAGAAGAATGTTATGATCAATTTTGTCAAAAGCTTTACTGAAATCAGTGTAAATAACGTCAACTTGTCCATTGATGTCAAGATTCTCAGCTATATATTGTTTAATACAAATTAAATTTGTTATCGTAGAACGGGCAGGCATGAAACCATGTTGATTAATAGAAATTAAAGTTCTAACAGAAGGAATTAGTTCTCTATAAATAATTTTTTCAAATACCTTAGCAAAGTTTGATAATAATGATATCGGCCTGTAATTAGTAATGTTTGATGTAACACCTTGTTTAAAAGTTGGAACTAATCGTGCAATTTTCCAACAATTTGGAAAAGTGTTTGTACGCAAAGATAGATTAAATAAAAATGCAAGTGGATTAGATAGAGTAGATGAGCAATCACGTATAAAGAAAGATGGAATACCATCGAAACCAAATATTTTGGAGTTCTTAAAACTTGCTATTGCAAGTTGCACAGTACTAGAATCAATTTCACCTATATCAATCATGATTCTATCATTATGATCAAATAAAATGGGTAAGTCAAGTTTAGGCTGATAAACACTAATAAAGTAAGAATTAAATGCATCAACAATAGCATCAGGAGAATCATAATATTTGTCTAGATAGCACAATCTATTAGGAATAATATTAGAAGCAGTTTTATTACGCAAAAAAGACCAAAAATATTTAGGATTAAGCGATAGAGAAAGAAGTTTTAAAATCGATTCAGGATTGCGGACTCAAACGTGGATAAAAAACGTTCACTTTTCTTTTATTTAAAAATAAACGGCTTGGCTGATGGTCGCACAAAACTGACACCCGCTTAGTCATTATCGAGTTACATTGAATGGCTTTTAAATTTTTGAAATCAGTCCAGCCGGTTTTGAGAAAACGTCGACAAAACGTCGAAAATCGGTTCACATACACACACATATTTTTTTCAAATTTGGTCTCATTCGATTCAGAAGGGCTTGAAACGCCGAGAAAACCTAAAATTAACAAAACGAATTTTTTGGCGAAAGCATAAAATTCTCTTTCGGGAAGTTAATGACTCTGATTTCTTCGAATATGTAATGCGGTAAAAATAAAAATGTTCGCATTTAAATAATCATAACTCATCATTTCGGAAATTTATGATTAGAATATTTTTAATAGCTCTCAAGAAAATGTTAATTATTGCACCGCTTAAGCCATTTGTAAAGCATTAAGTGAATTACAATGTATCAAAAAAGAGATAAATGAATAGTATTATAAATTTTAATTACATAAAATTTTATTAGCAAACTGTTTCCATTTATTCATTTTATTTAAGGACAGTATTTTAGTACTTCCACGTTGATAAATGCTCAAATTACCATTTTATTTACTTTTCTCCCATCTAACTGGTAAATTAACAAAATTATGCTCATAAAAAATGGCACCGTACCCAGTCGCCCTAACTATTACGATGACGGACAAATAATAAGCTAAAAAGTTGAATAGTATTGTTATATAGCTTTTTAGCGAAAAATAACTAAAATTATGTTTAATTAATTACATAGGTAAACAAAATTGAAACAGTTGTCTGTATTGGGTGTGCGGCATATATTTTACAACGTAGTTTTTACGAATTCGAATCTAAAGTCAAAATTGAGGATCAAACTGCAAAAAAACGAAGAAAAATTTAAAAAAAACGCAAAACCTACGATTTAGTAATTGATGTAATCTGTGTGATGATATGATGATTAAAATCTTTTCTGTCATTTTCTGGTTCTTTTCACTTCGAATGGCATGTGCAACGGATTTCTTCAATGATTTTTTTATCTGTATTGAGTTTCTTTCCGTACCAAAAACTAAATTATTAAAAAAACTTTGCAAAACTTTGAACAAATTCGATTTTTGAGAAATTTTGAAATTTTCGAAAAAATTTGACTTTTTTGAAAAATTTGATTTTTTTGAAAATTTTGAACATTTTTTTTAAACAATCGCGCTGCATAGCTGATTTGGATTCAAAATATCAAGGCGCATGAGCGCCGTGTAGTCATTGGTACGGAGCCCATATAAATGTACACAAAATTTGTACTTATTATTATAATCTTTATAAAATATCTGATAATACGATGCTATATGTCTAATGTTAGGTTTTGACCGCCAAATGGCATTATTTTTTACTTTTGCCCTGTCTTTACAAAAATGTCACCAATTGTTCAGTTTGTCAATACAAGTAAAATGTTTTTTGAATTATTCAAATCGGGCGCTCCATTATCTCAAAAACAAAAATACCACTTTGGAACTTTTGGCCCGTAACTCCGAAACGGCTAGACCTGCTTTTGCCAAAAACTAATCAGCACGTCTAATTATCAATACGACTCGAATGTTTCTTAAATAATTGAAATCGGTTAAACCGTGTTTCCGAAATCGTCGACGAAAATTTGTATCCGCACACACACACACATACATCCATTTAAAGAAGAGTTTAAAACGTAAAGATATATAGAAATTTTCATTTTCGATTTTTGTGCCATTACTATAACTTACCCTACGGGAAGTTAATAAAAATTAATTGTTTCTTTACACTGTCAACACAAGCAAAATGTGTTTTTTGAATTCAAATCGGATACTCTGTTCTCCCAAGTAATACCATTTTCTGCACTCTTTGCTTTGTATTTCCGAATCGGCTGGACCTAAGGTGACCATACGTCCCGGATTGGCCGCGGTACAGTCCCGGATTTCCACCTTGTGTCCCGGATTTCTATTTTTTGTCCCGGATATCCCGTTTTTTTTTAAAATTAATAGTTAAATTAACAAAAATTAAGAAAACAAACTAACAGATGCTAATTTTTTCAAATTAATCATGAGGAAAATTGAATAGAACATATAGATCGAAAAATATAGGATATAATATCATATTTACTTCACGTAAAAATAATGGATTTCTTTTTCCCCAACCCAATAGATAAAGAAGTATTGCATATAATAGTCGAAGTATAAAGCTTACTAAAACTTCTTTTTAAAAGTCCGCAATTATGATAATCTCAGGTCTCAAAAGTCATTCAGTTTTTAAGAGAACGGAGCGTCCAATTTTAGTAATTCAAGAAACATTTTACAAGATGAAAAGCTGATTAAATTTGTGGGAAGGCAGGTCAGGCGGTGTCGCAAATCTAGTAAAAGAAGTAAAAAAATCGCCATTTGGCGGTCAAAAATGATCATTAAACACACATTGAATTATTAGATATTTTATAGAGATTTTAATAATACGTATACATTTTGTTTACATTTCTATGGGTTCCGTAACATGCTTACGCGCTTAGATATTTCGTCTCTATGCAGCTAAAGCAGTGCGATTGCTTTGAAAAAGTTCAAAATTTCCAAAATATTTCAAAATAAGGAAAACATTTTTTTTCAAAAAGTCATTTTTTCCAAAAAGGCAATTTTTCTTAAAAAATTTAAATTTTCCCAAAAATCTAATTTTTTTCAAAGTTTTAAAAAAATTTTAATCATTTTTAAAAAAAAATAGTTTTTGGCACAGGAAGTTCTAGCAATTTGGCTTGAGGCACGATGCCATACACAACTAGTTTCAAAATTAATTAAGCGAATATAATGAATAAGAATATAATGCAACGTCCACTTCTGGTGGTTTATTTACCTGGTGTACATGTCCTACCATCTACTGTTATAACTTGAAATTAAAATTAAGTAACGTCTTATTTTACTCTCTTGTTTATCTATGTTTACTCTCTTATCCAGTCTTCTTTTATCCATGTGCAGAACCATAAATAAAAAGTGCAAATAACTGATTTCGTTCTTGTTTATCCGATCCGATCTATGGATGGAGACTTATCTTATCACGTTTGTGTACAATGAAATGAATATTATAATTTGAATGAATTTTAAGCGTCAGGGAGCAGTCGGTGCTATTGTTTGAAGGAAGTCTTTTGTTGTATCAAATATCAGCAAAATGTCATCGCAGGTATGTTTTTTTTCTTTAAAAATATTACTATTTATAACTATTATTGGACAATTTGCAAATTATTATTAATTATATCGAAACACTTCTATAATTGTTAATATGCCTGTGGTTAGTATTACGATATTTTACAACTGTTGGGTTTGCAATGAAAGCGTTTTTTTTTACTGGAATTAAAAAAACCATTGTTACTAGTTATTGTCATTCTTTTTTTATTGTGACTTTTAGATACCTAACTTGTTTAATTTTTTTGAATTATTAATTAATAGTTTCTATGCTATGTTTAATATGTCAAATGAGTTAAACTTTATCCCCAATCAGAAGGTAACAGTTATCGGATTATATATTTATTGACACATTATATTCGTTGTATAACAAATTGAAGTGCATTGTCTTTACTATGTAAATTTATTTCTAATTGGGCACCAGTTTTCTGAATAAAACACTGAATAACACTTGTTTTATCATTTTAAAATGAAAAACCATTTTGAGAATACTTTTTAGGGAATTACTAGTGGAATTCTTATCTAAATGAGAATTGTTGTTTATGTTATTAGGATGGAACTCTTATATATGATAGATTCTTGCTTACATCTTGTGGGGACATTTTTTATTTATTTGTTTCGAAAGTTCTGTAACTCAATTATTATATCCATAGTAATATATTCATTCATTTTTAGGTTGATAAGATAGCAAGCATTTTTCAGTCAGTGGCCCAAATTCCGGCATTGACAGGAGCATGGATTGTAAGAAACAAATCCCATATTATTGTTGAGTCTGGTTGGACGCAGCGAAACATTATTAGGAATAAAATGACTAAATTTCGTCGTACATATTTTATGGACAATAATTTCTCGAATTGCTCAATGGAATTTGCTGAAAAAAATAATGAGTATGTGCAATATTAAAAAGGTTTAAAATTTACTGACTATGATTATTCAATATATGATCTATAAATGTATTATGGCTTACTTACTATTAGTTTGATATGATAGTTTTTGTTATATAGAGTATACACAGTAATTGTTGTTTTGATACAGATCAATTTTTTATTGTAGCTTTAATTCGCAATGTTTAATTTTGGCAGTATTTCACTAGTAAATAAAAAAAGGCACATTTAAACAATTAGATCCTTGATTAGGTTTCTATTTATATATAATCTGCGGGGTTGGTTTAAGTTAAATTAGGTTTAAGGTATTATTGTGGCTTAAGATATTGTTGTATTTCTAGGCCCTTAGGCTGAAATAAATAAAAAAAAAAAAAGAATTTGATAAACCAGCTACTATTTTATCCTTACTTCAGTCGTAGTAGTTTTACATATTTTCAGGTTATTAGTATCAAACACTCTTTTGGCTAATGGACGAGCAGTAGTTACACAAGCAGAAGCAACAGATTCAAAAGAAAAGGCCAAACAGTATGTTGAGATTTGGAAAAATGGACAGCTTGAAAAATGTTTTGATGTCTTTGCTCTTGATGTTCACGGGGAAATCTATTGTGATACTGAGTTCTCTACTCTTGAATGGTCATCATGTGAAAAAAAATTATTGTATATCGCAGAAAAGAAATCTGATCCTGTTGAATCATTTTTCAAAGTTAAAGCTCAAAACGCTAAAGAGGATGGCACCACTCATGTGAAGGTATGTTTTAGATGAAGCTCAACGCATACAAAGTACTAAAATTACTCCAAATATGTAACAGTATTATAATATAATATTATTATTATGTTCAATATCATTAGTGTGCTTAGTGAACCAGTATAAATTTATAAAAATGTATAAATAATATTTAATTGATAGGGCGGTGAATATAATTTCAAAGAAGAATGGGGAGAGAACCTGGTTGGGAAAGTGAAATCTGTTCTTGTAACCCTCAATATTTATGAGCAGAAAAGCATATCCGTTGCTGATTGTATTCCTGAAAATTTATGTCCAGCTCAAGCACAATGGTGTCCTGATGGCTCAATTGTTGGTATTGCTTGGGATGCAAGACCTAGGAAGCTGGGTCTGGTTTATTGTACTAACCGATTGAGTTATGTATTCAAAATATCATCGGATGGAACATTTTGTGAGTTTTTATTATTATAATTCTGTAATTTTTTATTTTGAGAATGACACACTATTAGTAATGTTAAGCTCATTACTCAGTTCAATCAATTGCTCATTCAATTTTATTTTTTATCTCGAGTGATAAAATATCTACATTTTATTTGAAATTGATGTTTGTTTACTTTTTAAGTTAAATGTTGAAACTGGTAAGATTGAAATTTTGTATGTTTTTTTTGTAGCGATTTTATCAGAGCAGGATAAAGCAGTCCGTGCACCAAGAATTTCACCAGATGGTAAATGGTTAGTTTGGATACAAAGAGATGTTGGCGGACCTCATCTTGCAGCACATACCATTGTGAAATTGGCTTGGCCGCCAACAGATGATGTAATGCATTTTACAATTTTTTAATAAGAATTATTAAAATTTAAAAATAACATCTGATAAACATTTTGTGAATGACATGATATTTTAAACTTTATTTTATGTTTCATTTCATTAAAATATATTTCACTTTATTAAACTCATAAAAATATTAGTTTATAAATATGATTGCTTTCATATTTTTACAGTCGAAACCTGTAACTGTACTTGGGTCTGTCCAAAGGTCAATCGAAATTAATAATGGAAAGAAGTTCTTTGGTTTTTATGGATTAGATTTTCCGAAGAGATGTTGGATTTCAGATACTGAACTTCTATTTTCAAGCGTTCAGTGGAATGAAGTAAAGAGTTACATATTGAATATAGGTATTGAATCTTTCTCATATTTTCTTGCATTTCTAATATTATTTGAAGTATTTATCACATTTAAGTTTGTTCATGGGCAATTCAATGATGACTGGGTCTAAAATACAATTAATTCAATTATTGATTCAAATAACTTTTTTTGTTTAATAAAGTATAATTGTTTTAAATTGTTGATAATGATTGTTTACATAATTTTAATTTCTTGTGTATATTATTATTTTTGTTGTCTCAAGATAACAATTATGTAATGAAATGTACATTTTATTTATCATTTAAGATAGTTGCGCTTTATCTGAACTAACATCGACTGGTGAAGATAATTATTCTATGGGATCATTAACTATTTTGGATGTTAAAGATGATATTGTATGTTCTTCTTGGAGCTCAATAAAATTACCTCCTCAGGTATCCCTAAGTTTCAAAATAATATTTTTATGGCTGGATCAGAGAATCCCATTTTTTTTTTTTTTTTGAATTATTGATATTTATTAGACAATTTTTCTTTTTAGCTTGTTGTTGGAAAACTTCAGCGAGACAGCGCGCTCATATCCTGGGTACCTATTTCAAAATCAAATGTTATTCCTGGACTTGAGAATCATTTTGTAGAATATCTAAATCTTGAACATAATTCTAATGAAGAAATTAGTAAGTTTTTAAAAAAATGTATATAATGTATTTGTAAAATTACATTTTAGAAAATTGATGTTAGCTCATGTTCAGAGTCATATCAACTTCTATCCAAATAGTTTTGTGTATTTTTTTTCTCTTTCTCCAGATAACTGTGGTGCACTATATTATGGAAAGCAGGATAGCATGGAAGGAAGTAGTCCGCTTCTAGTTTGGCCGCATGGTGGTCCTCATTCTGCATTTACTAACAGTTTTTCATCTGTTACTTCCTTTTTTGCTTTATTAGGTAAAATTATTGCGCACTCAATATATATGTTCAAATTCAGAAGAAATTAACTTCACTAGAACCTCATTTATTAGAAATACGTATATTTATTCTTTATGTAAAAAATTTTCTTTCTGAAGTAAAAATGGTACTTTTGCAGGATTTTCAATTGTGCAGGTGAATTACCGGGGCTCAATAGGGCAGGGCCAGGCCAGTATTGACTTCTTGTTGGGTCGTGTAGGTGATAGTGATGTTCGAGATTGCAAACTTGCAACAGACACATGCATCAAAATGTTTAATTGCTCAGCTCAGCGCTGTGTATTGTTTGGTGGATCCCATGGGGGATTTCTTGTCACGCATCTAAGTGGACAGTATCCTGATTCATACTGTGCCGTTGCTGCAAGGAATGCCGTGATTGATATTTCTACAATGATCTATTCATCTGATATACCAGATTGGTAAGCGTAAATGAAAATTGAGGAATTTCATATTTAAAAAAAAAAACTATGTTCATTATTTTGTTCTGATTGGTTTCAACTTGAATACTCATTGTTAACAAACTTGATAAATAGTAAAATTACTTCAAAAAACAAAATATGATCTGTAAAACTGTTTGAATAATTTGCGTGTTTGATTTAAGGTGTGCTGTGGAGATAGGTGCCAAAAAATTAATTGAGGATGGACCTGTGGATGAAAATCTCTTAAATAAGATGCGAAACGCATCGCCTATTGCTCATGTTCATAAAGTAAAAGCGCCTACGATACTCATGGTTGGTAGCAAAGACTTGCGTGTACCACCTTCACAATCTATGTTGTACTATAATAAATTGAGGGCTAATAATGTAACTGTGAAGTAAGTTTATTAATTTATATATTTATAATTTATATATATATATATATTATATTAATATATATATATATATATATATATATATATATATATATATATATACAGGGCCGGTCCTGGAGTCCTCAGCGCCCATGCAATTTTTTTTCTAGAGCCCCCTCCCCCTCTGATAATTTTAAATGTTATAATATTTACGTAATTTTTTTTTAATTAACTTTTAATCATTTTAGATTTAGTAAATAAAAAATTAGATATAGTCTAAAAGCGTATAATATTGATTTTAAATTATTTTAGAAAATCGAGACGATTTGCGAGTTGATCATAATCAAATATTTTTAAATTTTCATGTATTTCTAACGTATGTGTTTGGATCTTGAAACATTTTACTCATTTACTATGCGGTTTATTCTATTGAGCAAATTATGCCAAGAGAGCAAAAAAACTAGCCTTTCATTTTCAAACATAATTCTAATATTTCATGTTGGATTTTTTGAATTTTATTTTAATTTATTTTTTCATTATTTACAACATCCAAAATTGCTTCGTAAACTTCTCGTTAATGGTATCGTAAGGGCCGAATTGTATTCATCTTTACTTTACTCATCAGATTCAGAGTATCAGCTTGATGTTTTATTGTTGTATATACATATATATATATATATATATATATATATATATATTAAAAAATTTTTAAAAAAATTTAAAAAGGATTTTTTGGATGTAATTTAGCGAACAAATGAATGAATAAAACTCATTTTTTTCTCAAACTCATTCATTTGTCGCTAAGTTATACCTAAAACATTTTTTTTTAATTTTCAACTTTTTTTCCATGCTCTTTCCGTACAAAGTTTGATTGAATTGCGCTTTATCTAAACGTTAATATTAAGAGCTAAAACTTTCAGAGATTTGTTTTTTATCAATTTGGATCCATTTGAGACCCTGGGAGCAAGGAAATTCGAAAATAACCATTTTAAGGACCACCCTAATATATATATATCGATAGTTTTTTCGACGTTGAAATATATTTCAAAGTAACTTGCAGCCCATTCGTCGAAATAAAAATGTAATAAAGTATTTAATTTAATTCAGCAACTACAATAAATTTGAAAAACTTTACTTATAATAAAAAACAATTATAAAATAATTATAAACATAGAGAAACATTATACATACCACCAGGACAAAAACACTCAAAAAATATTTTTTCAAAAAATTAAACTTGTAACATTAGAAAAGGACATTTTTTTGGAAAAATAATGAATAACTGCAAAATTAAAAACATTTTGAAAAGAGTTTTGAACTGTAACATTATGACGCATGAAACACGGCCATATCAAGCAAACTACTCGACTGTAATGTTAACCGAGGCGTGTGTTTAATAGAGTAGGGTGGGGAATGTAACGAAAGACTACGTTTCTAATATGTTACAAGTTTAATTTTTTTTAAAATATTTTTTTCAGTGTTTTTGTCCTGGTGGTATGTATAATGTGTCTCTATGATTATAATTATAATTGTTTTTTATTATTAGTAAAAATTTTCAAATTTATTGTAGTTGTAAATGTATGTAGTATAAATAAAAGTTCTTAAATACTTTATTGCATTTTTATTTTGACGTATGGGCTGCTAGTTACTTTAAAATATATATATATATATATATATATATATATATATATATATATATATGTACATGTATCCCTTAATACTTCTTGTGTAAACAAACGTAATTCCTCTCATCTCTTACAAGACAGTTACAAAGTAATCATCAATTTCATGAAAAGTAATTCAATACAGTTTTAGAATCTTTTGTTCGTTATATTTCTTCTCTGTTTCTCTTTCCCCTTTCATTTCTCGCAACCTACTCCCACTCTTCCATTACACGTGCGTTTCTACACTGCGTTGTACTTTTAACCTTGAACAGTGCACACAATGCAATGTTATCAATAACATCAAATATAGGAGGGCAATATGTGCTCCTTCTATTTCTCGTTTGTTAATATAATAGTATTTTATTATTTTACACAAATTTAGTGTTCAATCAATTATACATCATAATTAATGTTTTCTGTTGTTTTTCCTGGTTTGGTATGTATAATTTCCTCCTTTTATATATTTATATTTATCATCAACTGTCTATTTATGTTATGTTTTTTTAGATTACTGAATGATGACACACATCAAGTATCGAAACGTTTAATGGAATAAATAATTTTGTTATGTAATCAATTTCATGTTAATTACAAATATATACAGTGCTGGATTTACAATAGGGGCAGTCGGGGCTACTGCCCAGGGCGGCAAATTTTCGGAGGCGGCAAAATTTTGATAGCAAGAAAAAAATTCTATACAATGTAGTTAACTGATTGTTTTAATAACATTTTTTATTTCTAGAAAAAAAATTAACCAAACATAATATGATTGCAATGCAAAACTTGGGTTCAAATAACCGATTAATAAAATTTATTATTTTGCCGTGCCTTCCTCTCCGAACGTAAATTATCAAATTGGTTAATACTAGTAAGTCATTATCAAATTCGGCAATTTGGCTAATATAAAAATTCGTAAATGAGCTGAAAGTTTAGGGAAAAACTATTATTCAGATCTCGAGCCCTCTTAAGATGAAGAAATCGTGCACTTCCAAGCTTATAGCAAATTACTGGAACTTTTCCGTACTGAAAATTACATTCTATAAAGAGCTTTAAATTTTTTTTAAAAATATAAAAAATTGAATTTAAAAAACTTTTTTTTATATTTTGATTTTTTTTGAAAATTATGAACTTCTTTCAAAGCAATCGCGCTGCATAGCTGTTTCAGAGACGAAATATCGAAACTCAATTACCATTTTTCGAAACGGCTGGACCTTCCTGTGCCAAAACTAATCAGAACGTCTCCCCATCAATACAAATCTAATATTCTTTTAATTATTCAAGTCGATTTCGAGAACACGGATCAACAGATTTGAATGATTCGATTCCAATTGATAAGAAGACGTGTTGCTTAATTATTGGCCAAGGCAGTTCCAACTGTTTCGAAGATTAGGGCCAGAATTCCAAAAATGATAATTCAGTTACTGAGAAACGGAGCGTCCAATATCATTAAAAAATGTACATGTATTGACGAAATGAAGAACTGCTCAAATTTGTGGGAGACACATTTAGCGGTTTCGGCGATCCAATAAAAAAAATGGAAAAATAGCATTTGGCGATCAAAAGTAATTATTAGACATATGCACATCAAATTATCAGCTATTTTATAGATACTTTAATGATAAGTGTAAATTTTGTATACATTTCTATGGGTTCTGTAACATTTTTTATCGTACCTACACGCTTCTGTATTTTGTGTCTAAGCAGCTGAAGGAGCGCGATTGCTTTAAAAAAAGTTCAAAATTTTTAACATATTTCATTTTTTTTCAGTTTTCAAAAAGACATTTTTTTTTAATTTCAATTTTCGATACGGGAAGTTACAGCACTTTGCCATAAAGCATCACTATTTATAGTACAGTAGGCCCTCGCTTTACACGGCACTCTGGGTACACGGTTCCCATACTACACGGAGCTAAAAATCCGACATCCCTCCGACTACACGGACTTCTTATTACACGGTATTTGGTCAACAGCCCATAAGTTCGTTGTGCACAAGGGTATTGATGTAAATTTTGTTATCGACTTTTATCTTTTAGACATGCCTGATTGTATAATAGCCGCCTAAGAACACGTTTGAGCTGACTACTGCGTCGCGCCAATTTTTGAATAAGGTGTCAATGTCCTACATGTCATTTCGTCCGTATTTCTCCTACTTCAAGTTGTATTTCTTGGTCTCCATACAACGCGATAAAACTGGTGCGATTTGTACTAACTCTGAGTCTCTCATAGCACGGTTCCCATACTCAGGGCCGGCTTTAACACTACCAGCGCTCTGGGCGAGATTTCTACGGCGCCCTCCACCTACAATTCAAATCCATTTTGGAAAAAAGAAAAACATCTAATGAAATAACCGTTTATTAAAAAAAAAATTATTCATTATAAAAGATAACCAGTTATTACACAAACACTAATAGAATTTTACTTTTCTGGCCTTTCTATCAGCGAACTCTTTTATAAGGTTGTCGAAGTCGATGTTTTCAGCAATTTCGTTTTCAATTGACAAAGTTGCTAAGTTTGTAAATCTAGATTGAAAAATCGCTGATCGAAGATAGGTTTCTATCAGCTTCAGCTTTGAAAAGCTCCGCTCCCCACTAGCAACCGTTACAGGTATAGTTAATAAAATTCGCAATAATATCTATACATTTGGATACAGTTCTTGTAAGTTGAAATCGTTGATGAAATTTAAAACAAAAATGGGAGTAACCACATTTTTATCAGGTAAAAAGGATGCCAGACTTATAAGTTCATCACACAACATACAACCATCTATGTCTGATTTAGAGTCTACAGTTAATTTTAATTGGAGATCACTACAGAGCTTGAGAAGGTCGCGTTTTTCTGGAATCTGTTAAATATTGTACAAAAAAGACCAAGATTCCGAGTACTCATTTAACTGTTCGAACCTTTCATTGATTGAAATTAATATAGTGTCCAAAAGACAGTTGAAAAATTCAACCTCAAATTTTTTTTCTGCAGAAGTTATATTTCACCAGCTTGACGCTTAATACGTCGAATTCTTGTTGTAGCTCGAAATTCAGGTTCAATTTCTAGTTCTTCGGCCAACTCCTTCGCAGTTAAAATAGCGCTTTTAAAGCCCGTATTTCTGTAGTCTTCTAAAAAATTGCAGCATTTTTTCAACATTTGTGTACATTTACCAAGATCCATATCTGTTGACTGTAGAGATTTACTTACAACATTTATTTCATGAAGTATGTCATACCAAACAACCAATGAAACTATGAAGCAAAAATCTTTCAGTTGTTCGGCTAGTGTAGTAACCTCATGAGACATTTGAACATCAGTTTTCTGAGTTTCAAGAGCCAAAGTAATCAAAGCATCATGGATAGTACTAATTCGATAACGGACTGCTTTAACGCTACTTATTCTTGCTTCCCAACGAGTGTCACTGTGCTTTTTTATAGTATATAGTTCCAAGTGATCGGTTAGAAATTTCCATCGATGAACAGAAGCTGAGTGGTCTGAAATATCACCCTTCATAGCTAATCGCAAGTGCTCCTGCATGACTAGATCAAATTTGGCTAGTAGTTGTACTAAGCCTAAGAACTTTCCGTTATTTGGCGTATATAGTTTGTCAGAAGTGCCTCTGAACGCCATATTGTTTTCGGCTAAATAAAGTGTGATATGCATCAATCTAGACAAAACATTATTCCATCTTGTAGTTTCCTTTCTAATTAAGTAGTTCAGCTTCAATCCATGAAAGGTAAAACTTCTTATGAAAAGTGCTATTTTCATGATTTTTTAATATTTCAGACAAGTATTTCCAGTTGTTATACCCTTCAGATACTAAGTTCGACGTTGAGCTACTATCAAATAGTCTACAACAAAAGCAATAAACTCGATCCTTAGAAACGGAGTAAATTAACCAACGGCGCTGAATTGTTTCATTGTTTGCAAGAATTTTTGTGAAATGAGAATTAGAGAAATGTCGGCCTGTATCATTCTTCGGATAATTATCAATGTGAGTTTGCACTGGGCCACTAGTAATTATGTGATCAATGATTTTGCCATTTCGAGTGACTGGCCAAGTGGCCAAGTTCGCTGGCCAATGCGAATGTGCTGAGTTTGTTACGCTTCGCTACAATAACGCTAGCTTTTTTAACCAAAACGTTAAAAGGAGATAGACAATATGTTTTGACAATAGACAAAAAAAACCGCTTAATTTAGGGAATTTACGACTAAGCAGACCTCGAACTATGAGCATCAGCCGGGAGGTTCCATAGAACGCACTACGAATTAGCCTGAATTGTATGTTAAATACGAGTTTCTTATAGCACGGTTCCTATACTGCACGGTACGCACTTGCCGCGTAAAGCGAGGGTTTACTGTATGTAATGCGTAATAAATTTTCTGCAATCAAATACATATTTTAATTTAAAAAAAAAAAGATATATAAAAACTATTTAAGTAAAATGTCAGGGGTGGGGCGGCATTTTTGTCAGTGCCCCAGGGCGCCAAATTTCTAAATTCGGCCCTGAATATATATATATATATATATATATATTTATTTATTTCACTTTATTTTAGCAATCAGAAATACAAAAATAATTTCAATGAGCTAAACTGTACACTTAAATAAATATGATATTATATAAGATAATTCAGTGATATATCTTACTTAGTTTATACAAAATCGAATGGCCATATACTTTTCAGTATTCTATTGTCATGCATTCTCTAATTTGTTTCTATGGATTAAGGCACGCTCTTGTATTGTTTGCCGGACTGTTAAAATTTTCAGGTCATTGTGTATTGTAAAGTTTGTCACGTACCACGGTGCATTTAGAATTGATCTTAGAATTTTATTTTGCATTCTTTCTATTATTGCAATATTTGATTTTGAAGCAGTGCCTCATAACACTTACGCCATACATCCAAATTGGTTTCATTACACACTTATACAATAGTAATTTGTTCTCTGCAGACAATTTAGAGTTATATGTATATATATGATGCATATGAAGAAGTAACCGAAGATAATTGTAAACTGAAATTGTACTTTAGATTTCAAAATCTTATTATTTAGCTTAATGAACTTGGCTGTATAAAATAGTTTACATTTATTAATTTTTACACTGTTTTTTTTTTAAAAAAAAATTTAGGATGTTGCTCTATGAGGACAATCATCCCCTCTCCAAGCCACCAGTCGATATTGATAACTTGATCAACGCTGCAATTTGGCTGGTGCAACACTCTGGGATAAGCATTAAGTAATGACTTCGAATCATTGATATATTTTTGTAAGTCATTGGTTTATCATTTTTGTGAATAAACGAAACTTTATACGATTATATACATTATTCAATATTTCTAATATTTTTTATAAATTTAAACTTAATTATTGAAACTGTATTATCTTAATATGAAATAAAAAATGAAACAGATTAAAAATTAAATAATGTTGCTCTAGCAATAATTTATTCAAAAGTTACTTTGCTAAGTACACTTTCATTAAATTAGTTAATAAATTCTATTACTGAATAAGAAAAATTGAGTCAATTGAGAGAATGTTTACTCTATCTGTGAAAAGATCAGCCAATCTATGCAGTAAAACTAGTGGTGTATGGCATCGTGCCTTAAGGCAAATTGCTGGAACTTTCCGTACCCTAACAAAATGTTCAAGAAATACTAAATGTTTTCAAATAGATTATTATAAATATTGTAACATTGTCTAATATTTATAAGAATTATATAAACTGATATGCAAAGTTGAAATTATTTGTTCAAAGTACGAATGAAAATTAAAATCTTAATTATTTTCGATATACAACAAAAAAAAATGAAACAATTTTTTTTTTATTCCAAAAGCATTTATTTTGTTGAAACAAGCAGAAAGTTCTTTGAATCATTCATATCGGACGCTTAGTTCTCTCAAAAACTACAATTTTTTGCACATTTATCTCTGTATTTTCGAAATGGCTGAACCTGTCTTTGCCAAAAACTAATCACCTCTTCTTCCAATCACTACAAATTGAATTGAGTTTTTTAGATCATTCAAATTGGATACTCCGTTCTCTAAAAAAAACTCGTTTTCTATTTTCTGTACTCTTTGCTCCGTATCTCAGAAACGGCTGGACCTGCTTTTGCCAAAAACTAATCAGCACATCTCCCATTCAATAGGAATCAAATGTTTTTCGAATCGTTCAAATCGGTTGATCCGTGCGCCCAAAAACGTGGACGAAAAAATGCGGACATACAAAACACACACACACATCTGAGGTATGCCAAAATGTTGAAACACCTTCAAAACGTAATGATCTGCAAACATTTTAATTTTCGATTTTTGGCCCATTACTATAACTACCCTACGGGAAGTTAATAAATATTCACAATGGTGAATTCGATTTATGTTTAACATCCTGCAGCACCAGCACCTGCTTTATTATTATTTAGATAAAATTATTATTATTTTCAAAGATAGAATATGTAAACATTAAATAAACCATTGTCATCCTTAAATGATTTAACGTGTTAAAGAAAAAACAGTGTTTTGTCAAAATGTATGATGTTAATCTTGTGAAGTTATTTAATTGGAACATGCAGCAATTAGCACTTAATTTTCTACCATATCTCTGATCAAGTGAAAATATAAAGATTGAAAATGATTTTACTTATTTTCCCAAAATTACCACACTAAACAAAGACTAAAGCATAGGAACTATTTTATCATCCAAAATTCATTTCATTCAATGCTTTATTACGCAGCTAAAGCAATGTCATATTGTTACTAATTTAATAAATGACATTATTTTTGTTAAATAAGTAAAACAAAAGAAAATATTTCGTGATAGGACATAACATGTCAAAAAAATAAATTGTTTTTTTTTTTTTTTTTTTTTTAAATTTTATATTCAAAAAAATGTCTTCTACCAATGCGAAAGAAGCCTGGTGCCCTGTCTGCAAGGAAAATGTAAAACCCACACCTAAGGAAATGGTATAATTTCTACAATATTATATTATAGAACAATGTCAATTAAAATGTCATTTTAGTATGTTAGTTTGAATACATATAATCTTGGTGTAAGAGTGAAAAATTGAAGTTTCATTGAATATATTAATGACATAAATAGATACAAAATGACATGTTTTATACAACCAAAACGTAACGGTTTTAGTTTATTTAAAAATAACTTATGTGGCAGTTCTCATTTTATAGAACAAAAATTTTTATTTCACTATAGTTATCCACGTAGAAAAGTAAACTTTCTTGTAAACAAAATTTTCTTTCAGAACTCTTGTCTAACCTACTTTATGTGTATGTTGTTGCTTCCTGTGTGTAGTTGTCTCTACCCATTCAAGGTAAAGAAATGCAAGAGGACTATACAAGTATGCCCAAAATGTGGCCGGCGCGTCACGCCAATGATGATGGCAAAGTCGGAATCTTAGTAATTAACTAAAAAGCCCAAATGTGTATGTATAGCAATAAATTTTTATGTTAACTGATGCTCATAACGATTATAGTTGTTTGCGGCTAACATATTCACGTACTCGACTAACAAATGCATATTTACCCTTGTGATTCCAAATCTCACATAAGTTTTATTTACTAAATGATATTTCTATTTCTCTTCTGATTTTTATATCGCCTGGCTTTGGAATCACAAGATGCCGGGTTTAAGGTCGCGTTCCGTTTTTTTTTACATCTTTATATATACATATATAATATATAGGTATAAGTATATATATATATATATATATATATATATATATATATATATACAAGCAAACCCGACAAACTCCGTTTCGCCACCAGATGGTTTCGTGAGAAAAATGAAGATATTTTTTGTTTGTTTCATATTTGAAAAGGAAAAATGTGATTTTATTATACAACAGTAATGAATTTATTTCGATTACAAAAATGAAGTGTTTTTTAGTTGAACTTCTCTAAGTAAAAGTAAGTTAACACAAACGAAGCGGATGGTTTTCCAACTCGTGAACAGCCAACGTATAACTGCCCATGTGAAAAATAATGATATTCTAAATAATCTATTTGAAATTTATCCCGCAAACACTAGGCGATTGGCCTTGCGACTTGTTATTGCGAACGCAAGACGAACTGGAAATTGCAATCGTTTGAAGTCAAACGGAAGACCAGTCGGAATCATTAGTATGTCACCAAATCGCCAGCAATTTTTGATTAAATGGTGAAATTCAATGCGTGTACATCATCATTCTTTGCGGCAAGAATTGCTCGTTGACTTAACCAAGCATAATTCTGATAATTTTCACTAATGTCATTACTCGAATTTTTAATTACGGTGCGTGAAGTTCCAGCAGCTTGCATTAAGGCACGATGCCATGCACGACCTTTCCAACGAATGCAAAATTGTCGAAATCGGTTTGTGCGTTCTGGAGTTTTATCGTCAGGAAGGAAAACCCGACTTATTTATATATATATATATATATATATATATATATATATATATATATATATATATATGTAGATAATCTATTTGAAATTATTTTAAACAATTTTTGATTATTTTCATTACTCGAATTTTTAATTACGGTGCGTGAAGTTCCAGCAATTTGCATTAGGGCACGATGCCATACACCACTGATTTTTAACTTCCCGTAGGGTAAGTTATAGTAATCGCAAAAAAATCGAAAATGAAAATTTTTATATATCTTTACGTTTCAGAGGTTTCTGAACATTTTGGCATACCTTAGAAAAAATGGATGTATGTGTGTGTGTGTGTGTGTGTGTGTGTATGTATGTATGTATGTATGTATGTATGTATGTATGTATGTATGTGTGTGTATGTATGTGCGGATACAAATTTTCGTCGACGATTTCGGGAACACGGATCAACCGATTTGAATAATTCAAAAAACATTCGATTCGTATTGATAAGGAGACGTGCTGATTAGTTTTTGGTGAAGGCAGGTCCAGCGGTTCCGAAGATACGGGGCAAAAAGTGCCAAAAACAGTACCTCCGTTTTTAAGAGAACGGAGCGTCCGATTTGAATAATTCAAAAAACATTTTACTTGTATTGACAAGATGTAGAAGTGATCAAATTTTCATGAAGGCAGGCCTAGCGGTTTCGGAGATCTAATGAAAAAAGTAAAAAAAAATGCCATTCGGCGGTTAAAAATGATCATTAGACATATGCACATCAAATTGTCAGATATTTTATAGATATTTTAACAATAAGTATAAATTTTTTTTACATTTCTATGGGTTCCGTACCAATGCTTATGCGTTAGACGGCGGCGCGGCACCTGCGAGCTTTGACATTTCGTCTCTATGCAGTTCAAGCAGTGCGATTGCTTTGAAAAAAAGTTCAGAATTTTCAAAATATGTCAAAATGAAGAAAACATTTTTTTTTCAAAAAAATTTTTTGTTTTCAAAAAAAAATTTTTTTCTCAAAAAAAAATTTTTTTTTCAAATAAAAAATTTTTTTTTTCAAAAAAACGGTATTTTTTTGTCAAATTTATAGTTTCTCAAAAATCTATTTTTTTCGAAGTAAATTTTTTTCAAAAATGTTAATCGTTTTTAAAAAAATAATAATTTTTGGTACGGGAAGTTCCAGCAATTTGCCTTAAGGCACGATGCCCTAATTGCCTTAAGACAGAATTCCACTTACAGCTAGTCTTAGCTATAAACCTTGCGGAGCCCGAGGCCTTTCCAACGAATGCAAAATTGTCGAAATCGGTGCGTGCGTTCTGGAGTTATTTCGTCAGGAAGGAAAACCCGACTTATTTTTATATGTATAGATATATATATATATATATATATATATATATATATATATAACATACATAACACATCCCTCAATGTGTCCAAAGGAACTTATAGAGTTTGCTTGAATATGTTAAAGAATTAGGAAAAGATTTGATGTTTTGAATTTTATAGTGACCAGTTATAATATATGTTATTACTATTAAATTAATAATTATATATTACTTTATTAAATTAATAACTAAGTAGTTTCAATATATCCTACGTACTTTATTGAGTACGACACATGCATATTAATTACTGAACGATTTTTCTTATTTCTCTGATATTATCTCTTTAATAAAACACTTAATGGTTATCGAATCTAAAAAAATATATACATCTTTATCAAAAAATCACATATTTTGTAATCATTACTTTTTCATAGGACTGTATTGAAATTGAAATTATTGAAAAAAAACCTGATTAATTTGGTATATCTTAGAAAAAATAAATGCATGTCACGTATGTATGGAATAGCCATTTTTTTATTTTGAAGGGATCTAACAATCTCATTTTTTGAAGGTAGTCATCCGGTTTCGGGCAAATAAGGAAAAAAGTGAAAAAAAGTGACCGCTAATTAATACCAGGATTTCGCAAAAGACATTTTCTAAAATTCCAATAAATACTTTAACTCACCGGCGCTGTTATTTTCAATGAATTGTGAACTATAAGTAAGTATTTTTTTTTTATTTTTATTTGATTAAAAAATGAGTGTTCATCATATTTTTCAGATTTATGCATATTGATTTCTTTTTAATTTACATAGAAACTGTAAAGAATAATTTTGAGAATAATTTGACGTTTTTAAATATTAATAAATATAATAATAAATATAATTTAAATAAAAAATTAAAAATTAAATTTAAAATTTTGACATTTTTATTTATAATTTATATATATATATATATATATATATATATATATATATATGTGTGTGTTTATATATATATATATATATATATATATTATTTGTGAATTTAAATATTGTGAATTTATTGCCGGATTGAGCTTTTGAAAGCATCAGTCGGTAACCAGTAACCACATTGTTGTGCCTAGACAATATTAGAATACCCCGTGTTGTTGTGAGCAGGGTCTTGTTGTTAGGTTAACGTGCTGTATTTTCTTAAGGATTTGTGTGATAAGTCTTACCAATTTCATTTTTAACCAGTACTAATAATTTTAGAAATTATCAAAAACATTCAAGTAAAACCATTTTTGGGGCTTCCGCGACAATTTACGCTATTTTTTTAACTTACTAATGGAAAAATTTTTTTTTGACAGAAAATTCGGCTTGATAATTTTGTTCTCTCGGCGATTCAAGTAATTCTAAATTGTTTAAGGCCTAAATTGAAATAAAGTATGTGCGATAGCTTGGATTGTATATGCAATTAAAATCTTCCGTTTTTTACCATACCACATTCTCGTGTAGATTTCATTTGATTGAAAAAGATTGGATGATGTCGGCATACTAGTTTAGAACGGTGCACTGATTTTTATGTAGGTACTTCATATCCATTTTGACAATTTGACAGTAGAAATCGGTAATTTTTGTTTTTCGGTTTTGCTTATGTCATATCTTTTTGATAAATTGATAAAGTCCGATTTGGGGGATGGCTATGCTCATATCAAAGTTGTTTCCATTTGTTAGAAAATAAATATGAAGAGCAATTAAACAAAGAAATGAGAACAATAATATTTTATTCGTTATTGTGCTGTGTGTAGCATCCCCAAAAACGATATTAAATGCTGAAACGTATAGTTTAGCTAGTCAGAACAAATGACAAAAGTTTCACTTTATAATGACTTTTAAGTTTAATTTATGAAATCAATATTCATCATACATATTTGAAGTCAGCTTAAATAAATATGTATGATGAATATTGATTTTATAAATTATAAAGTAAAAAAAAAAGTATAATTAATTAATGTATAACAAACAGGTAATGCAACACTTACAATGTTTATTTGCTATTTTATTAAGCATTTGATGAGAGAAAATAATTTGACTATATTTTATTCTGTTATCATTCTAAAATTGTAATATAGTTTATGATATGAATCCTACAAAAATAAACTTCTAGCAAATTGTAAGAAATATTGTATATGAAATATAATAATATTTATAATATTTCAGGTTAACAATATTAATACGTTTGTAGAAGAATGATGACCATCAACCCGTTGATCAATCCGTTTTGATGACTTCAACAGAGTATCCTAAGTTTTCGGTACGTTGTGCATTGTGTGGAGACGAATTGCTGTACAGTCGACAAGATACATGGAATCTAATATTGCATCTACGAGAAAAACACCCTAAAGCAACACTAACTCAATTACCTTGTCAGGTATAATATAACATTACACTATTTTACATATATAAATGAAGTATTTTAATAAATATAGAAAATTAGTGGTACAGGGCATTGTGCCTTGAGGAAAATTGCTGGACCTTTCCGTACCAAAATTAAACATTTTTCAATAATAATTGATTAACATTAATAACAATTGTTTTAAATATTTTTCAACAGATTAATATAAATGTTGTAACTATTTGTATTTAGTAGACGAAATATAAGAGTTTATAAATTAGGCGACGAATGGTATTGGACACTTATGCATATTTTCTTAATGTAAGCATATAAGTTAACGCATTATAGGACTTTATTTCTAAGAACTATATATGTAAGGGTAAATAAGTGAGCTTATATAATTTTTAATGCCTGTGTTTGGACCTTTTTTTTGTATCAACAAACTAGCTAGATAGCTAAATAGCTAGACCTGCAAAAATTGTAATCAAGTTTTCATTCCATCAAAATAAGTTAAGTGTTTTTTGAATCATTCAAATCGGCTCCGTTTCAAACCGATCCGTTCCCAAAAACTGACTTGCCATTTCTTGCGCTTTTTGCGCCGTATCTTCGAAGCGGCTGGACCCGCCTTTACCAAAAACTTACCAGCTCGTCTTTCCGTCGATAGGAATCGAATGTTTTGCACTTCTTTTGCACTCGTAGACGACAAATTGTATCCAAACATATATACACACACATACATCCATTTTTTCCAAAGTGTGCCTAAATATTAAGAAACCTTTGAAACGTAAAGATATGCAAACAATTTTATTTTCGATTTTTTTGTTGTGAAGTACTACTACGGGACCTAATTATGTGATATTAGGCATTTCACACATTCTAAGCTATCACTTCGAAACAATTAGGTTAAAACTGAATAGTTTTATTAATTGTACGCGTTTTTTTCAATATTCTGTATATAACTATTGTAATTGTTAGACAATCTATTAGTTTTGAAGAATCAGAATAAAATGTATCATGAAAAATTAATCAAGTTTTATGTATGATACTAAAATTATTTATGTGTTACAATTATAAGACCATTTATTATTAATATATTTCTACATCGCTACTTAAATTTGACGAAAATAATATATTCTGCTTAATTTCTCAAAATTGTTTATATATATATATATATATATATATATATAATATATAATTTAATATAAATATACATAATTATAAATTTTTCTTAACACTATTCTTACATAATTTTTCCTGAGAAAGTCGTTTAGACTTATTTACTGAAAATCTTTATTTTTTCTAGCTAAGTTCTACAGCTACGAAACGAAAAGAGAGCATTATAACTCTCTTCATCAGAAAAGTTGAGTAAAATATTATCATAAGTCTTCAAAATGACGAAATAATCAACTATCAAATCTATTCGACTTTCAGAAAGATTCAAAGTCGACGCAGAATCCTGAGACACCACCAAAATTAATCGAAAAAGAAGTGGAAATAAATACTAAGAAAAAACTTTCTCCCACAACAGGTAAGTTTTACTCTTTCTGTAATATATATATATACGAGTATATATATATATATATATATATATATATATATATATATTAGTGATGTGCCGACTCGAAAATTTCCTGATTCGAATGATTCGAATCAGAAAAAAACCTGATTCGAATCATGATTCGAATCAATTCGAATCAAGTTCATATATGAACAATTATAATTTAAGAGAAGAAATAATATCATTTTAATAATTTTATAAGTGGAATAATTAATTTAGTAAGCAATTAATTCCAAAAAGTGCAGAGATGAATACATTTATATTATATATAATAATAAACTAGCTACAAATATAACTAATATTTCAAGTGAATTTACAGTAAAATATAACCAAACACTTCTCTATCACTAAAGCATATAAAACAATATTCCTAATCTTACGTTGAACAAATGCATGTGCATATTATTGATTGTTTAGATCTAATCTAAACAGGGGGTTGAATCAAACGTCTTACGAATGACTTAAAATTCAATCCACTACTGTAAAGATTGATATTATTTCATTTGTGTGACTTTGCCATTACTTGCATAATTAAAATATGATAATTTTGTATGTGTATGAAACTCGTTGTGTAGTTTATTTTGATAATAATTAAAATCTAAATCGCGTATTTATTATCTAAATGAGTTTTTGATATTTCATGAATAAATTTGCTCCCAGCGCTTAGTCAAAAATAAATAAACACTCAAGACCCATACGCACAGCATCTCGATAAGCCGATACGCTGATACACGGACACATGTTTCGAACTCAAGTCGGTATGATTCAGTTTGAGTCATATGAACTCGGATAAATTCATAACGACTTGAAGTCGGGATGAGTCGGTTTGAGTCTTAGGAACTCGGATCAATTCATTTCGACTTGAAGTCGAAATAAGTCGGTTTGAGTCTTAGGAACTCGGATAAATTCATAATGACTTGAAGTCGGGATGAGTCGGTTTGAGTCTTAGGAACTCGGATAAATTCATAGCGACTTGAAGTCGAAATAAGTCGGTTTGAGTCATAGGAACTCGGATGAATTCATATCGACTTGAAGACAATGAATGCGGTTAAAGTCATAAAAATTGGAGTCGGGTGATACATTTAAGCGTATTAAAGCCGGGTGGCTCGCATGATTAAATTCAAGATTTATTTTCTATATTTATTATTATTATTTTTTATATTTATTATAATTATTATTTATATTATTATAATATTGAATTAAATTAAAACATTTTTTTTATATTTATGAAAATTTGTGTTCATACATGCACACAGTAAATATTTCGCGGCTTGATACGAGTTGATTCGAATCAAGTAAAATCTGATTCGAATCAAGTCGTTAAAGGCTTGATTCGAATGATTCGAATCACTTGATTCGACTTGGCACATCACTAATATATATATATATATATTTTGATCAGTTATTTATAATCGGACAGTAACACCAAGTAAAAAAAAACTAAAGTAGTTTTGAAATACTTTATTTATCCATACGTTTCGGTCTTCGTCGAGACCGTCATTCGGTGGAAAAAGAAATTAATTAAACAAAAATACACTACACTATTACACTGTGATAAACCAGGCTATTAATAATTGGAACATTTAAACTAATTAATTTTTTTGACAATTTTTTTTTGGCTTACATTCTAGTGTGTACAATTTGACAAATTGTACACACGTGGTAAGTACCCTTCTGTTTTAAACAAACGATTTTTGTATACATTTTTACACTTCTTAATTATTTGAAAATTGAAAGAATTTACTTTGAACCTTTGAAGTATTGAAGTTGAAAATGTTTGAAAATGAATAGTCAAAAAAAAAAATGTTTTTAGTGTGCGTAAAAACAATTTTTAGTTCTTCAATGTACACACAAATTTTATTGAAATTTAGCATTAAATTATTTAAAAATTACAAATTTAGTTTCTACGTTATAGTTGAAACTTGGCGCCCCGGTCCATCGCAAACAACGTGTCTCGCTTGTGGGAAGACAGCGACGCCTGTTGTACGAAAACAGAGATCCAGGGTAAGATTATTGTATTTTGATTTACTCGATTCTTTGCAGTTTTGCCATTCATTTAGTTTTTACTTCACGTAAAAGAAGTTATATTTATTGCAAAAAAAACGAAAATGAAAATTTTCATATATCCTTACGTTTCAAAGGTTTTAGAACATTTTGGCATACCTTAGAAAAAAATTGTCAGTATATAGAACTCAATATCGCATGGGCATAATACCGACGAACTAAAATATCCGCTATTTTTGCTACTGGAAACCGCCGTTAGGCATTACTTCATAGGGGTATGATCTAGAATGCTATAATTCTTGCCCTGAAATTATTCTATTTTTATAATTATATGTAATATATTTGCTATTGGCTTTTTTTCTTTCCGAAGATTGCAAGTCTATTTAACACTTTGGTAGCAAATGTGTCTATGGCATTAGGTAGAATCACTTCTGCAACAGTATCTTTTAGAGTGATTCTTTGGCCTAATGTCTTTCCTACTCCGGCCCGTTGTGCACTATATTCCGGGCACACGAAGAACACATGCATCTTCGATTTTGCTCAAACAATATGGGCAATCCGGCGAGCTATCGTGCTTGAAGCGGTTTAGGTAGGCTCGAGAACAGCCGTGTCTAGACAGCATTTGTATAATTTAAAAGTTAAATTTTTCATGCTTGCTATTTAGCCAGACTATGATATTTGGATTGAGACGACTATTGCCCTTCACTGCGGCATCCCACTGTTGCTGCCATAGGTCAATGCTGTTCTGCCGTTCTTCTGTTCTCAATTTTTAGGACCCTCAAAAGTTTGGTTGTTGGTTTTTTATTGGTAAATTGTCCGTGTTTTTTCTGCTAAGACTATGAGAGACGGAGTTTTTGAAATGTCGCACACTGCTTTCTCTGATGTTGTGCGAAATGCGCAAGCAACTCTAAAGGCACTCAGACAATATATGGGTCCTGCCATTCTCCGTGATTTTTGAGTCTTGATAGCATCAGGACATGTGTATATGGGTGTGGTTAAAAATTTTTGTCGATGGTTTTAGGAACACAGATCAACCGATTTGAATAATTAAAAATACATTCAATACTCTTATTTATGGGGAGACATGCTCTTTAGTTTTTGGCAAAGGCAGATGCAGCCGTTTTGAAGATGGGAGAAAATAGGTCCAAAAATTGGAATTCAGTTTTTGAGAGAACGCAGCGTCCGATCTGAATGATTCAAAAATATTTTATTTGTATTGAAAAAAACGAGAATCTGATTAAATTTTAGGGTCCAGCGGTTTTGGAGATCCAATAATAAAAAGTAAAAAAAAAACATTTGGCGGTCAAAAATGGTCATTAGACATGTGCACATCCAATTATCAGATATTTTTAGAGGCTTTAAAAATAAGTAAAAAAAATCTATGGGTTTCGTACTGATGTTTATCCCTTAGACTGCGAGGCGGCGCTTACGCGTTTCGATATTTTGTTTCTGGAACAGCTACGTTCACAATTGCTTTAAAAAGTGTTCAAAATTAAAATTTTCAAAAATAAATTTTCATCATACATATTTAAATCAGCTTAAATATATATGCATGATGAATATTGATTTTATAAATTGCAATGTATAATTTACTGAATTATGAACGGTTTGTTATATATTGTGATGCCAATGCTAGAAAACCTGACTAAGACCAATATTGGTAAAAACCAATAATAATAATAATTAGTCTAAAATGTCCATGACATTTAAAGAATAAATTGGCAAGACCAAAGCATATGGATAGAAAGCAAACAATCCAAAACATATTAATAGAAAGCAAATATTGGCATGGCCAATATTGATTTTTGAGAAATTTTAAAATTTTTGATAAAAATTGACTATATTTTGATTTATTTTGAAAATTTTGAACATTTATTTTAAACAATCGCACTGCATACGCCACTGTAAGGGTGAGTTTTTGCATATCTCACGTTTTAAGTTCTTCTGAGCATATTGGTATTCCTTAAAAAAATGATGTATGTGTTTATATATATGTTCGATTCCTATTGATAAGAAAGCGTTCTGACTATATTTGGCGAAGATAGGTCCAGCTGTTTTGAAGATACGGATCTAAAGTGTAAAAATTGCAATTCTGTTTTTAAGAGAACAAAGAACAGATTTCCGAATAATTCACAAAACATTTTACTTTAACGGTTTTGTAGATCCAGAAAAAGTGGCTTACAGAAAATTGCTGAAACTTCCCGTTCCATAATTAAAAATTGGAGGAATAAAAAAATCATTATAAAATAATTCATCATACTATTTATCTCGATGAGGACTAGTATCAGTATGAGTTTTGCGCGACGATCGGCCGTGCCGTTTCTTTGTAATAAGCAGAAAAGTGAAAAATATTTCGTCCACGTTCGAAAGATATTGGATGGGAACCGTACTGATCAGTTTGTGTTGAAGATCAATTTTGGATGGGCTATTTTTTGTAATTAACTGTTAAAAGATTTTTTTCGACGACTTTTCATGAAACATTTTTTATGATAAACATCAGGTTAAAAATCATACGAAAATATTACGACTCTGCGACAAATCATTTAATTTAAAAAATTCGTCGAACTTTGTAAAATTGGCCTCGCTTTTTGGTGTGATCAGTCAATATTTAAATTTCGTCGATGTTTTATCAAACATTTTGGTTTTATTAAATATTGGTTTTACCAATATTGGCATCAGTTCTCTTCAAAAACTGAATTGCTATTTCTTACGCTTTTGCTCCGTATCTTCGAAACAGCTGGACCTGTCTTGGCAAAATTTATTCAGAACGCTTTCTTATCAATAGAAATCGAACATACATATATACATCATTTTCTCAAGAAATGCCAATATGCCCAGAAGAACTTGAAACGTGAGATATGCAAAAAAAATATTTTGGATTCTTTTGCGATTACTATAATAACTTACCCTGCGGGAAATTAAAAATAATATCTATGTAGTTTAAAATAAAATATTTGATTAAAAAAGTAAAATCTTGTCTATTAAAAAGGGCGCCTGATTAGATAGGGCCTAGGGCGGCAGTAAGCTTAATCCGCCATTGACGGTAGATGCTCATAACAAACAGGTAATGCAACGCTTATAGTGTTTATTTGCTATTTTATTAACCATTTAATGAGAGAAAATAATTTGACTATATTTAATTTCGTTATCATTCTAAAATTGTAATATAGTTTATGATATGAATCTAATAATATTTATAACATTTATAACATTTCTAATTAACAATATTAATACGTTTGTAGAAGAATGAAGACCATCAACCCGTTGATCAATCTGTTTGATGATTTCAACAGAGTCTCCTAAGTTTTTGGTACGTTGTGTATTGTGTGGAGAAGGATTGCTGTACAGTCGACACAATACATGGAATCTAATATTGCATCTACGAGAAAAACACCCTAATGCAACACTAACTCAATTACCTTGTCAGGTATAATATAACATTACACTATTTTACATATATAAATGAAGTATTTTGATAAATATAGAAAATTAGTGGTGCATGACATTGTGCCTTAAGGAAAATTGCTGAGCCTTTCCGTACCAAAATTAAACATTTTTCAATAATTGATTAACACGTTCACGTCGGGGCGTGAACGTGTTAATGATTAATAATAATTGTTTTAAATACTTTTAAATAGATAAATATAAATGCTGTAATTATTTGTATTTATTTGACGAAATATAAGAGTTTATAAATTAGGCGACGAATGGTATTGGACACTTATGCATATTTTCTTAATGACTTTATTTCCAAGAACTTTATATATAAGGGTAAATAAGTGAGTTATATAATGTTTAATGCCTGTGTTTGGACCTTTATTCTTTGCATTAACAAACTAGCTAGATAGGTAAATAGCTAGACTTGCTTTCCCAAAATTGTAATCAAGTTTTCATTCATCAAAATAAGTTAAGTGTTTTTTGAATCATTCAAATCGGCTGATCCGTTTTCAAAATCTGACTTGCCATTTTTTGCGCCGTATCTTCGAAACGGCTGGACCTGCCTTTACCAAAAACTTACCAACTCGTCTTTCCATCGATAGGAATCAAATGTTTTGCACTTCTTGAATCATTCAAATCGGTTGATTCGTGCCTTCGAAATCGTGGACGACAAATTGTATCCAAACATATATACACACACACATACATCCATTTTTTTCAAGGTATGCCAAAATGTTCAGAAACTTTTGATGCAAAAAATTTTATTTTCGATTTTTTTTGCGTTTTTCGATTTAAGTTATAGTCAAAAATACCATACGGGAAGCTAATTATGTGATATTAGGCATTTCACGCATTCAAAGCTATCACTTCAAAATATTTAGGTTAAAACTGAATAGTTTTATTAATTGTACGCATTTTTTTTTAATATTCTGAATATAACGATTTTCTAATTTAGTGCAGTAAACGGAGAGGAAAAAAGGGTATAACCTCTGAATTTTTTTACTGTGCTCCTAATTGAATGAAATTTTGGAATTAGGTTCATCTTACCCTTAAGTTCAAAAGTGAAAACAATTCGGGTTGCGCCATCACCCCCCGGGGGGATGACAACCCCTCTCAATTGTGTAATTACATTTTTTTGCGTGTAAAATGAGTGAGCTATCATGCAAATAAGAAGTTTTTTTTTTTAATCATGTGGTTTAATAAGCGCCATTTCCACCAGAATTAAAGTAATTCACATTCCATCTAGAATTCACTTCGTTATAGACATCTTGATGGATTCTAGCAGATTCACTACTTTAGTACAAACTATTTTCAGAAAACTCACGATTTTATAAAAACTTTTTTTTCCATTTTAATAATAAATAATAAATAATAATTAATAATTAATAGTGAATAATAAATAATGGATATTAATATGCATATGACTAAAATAAATAATATAAATATAAATATATGAATTAGTATTTCACCCGACATGCGCGAGTTGAACTCACATTCGCCAAATGAGCCGGTAAATGCACATTCACCGAAATATGCACATTTACCGTAACATATATATATATAACGATGTGAAAAAATGATTTTGGGAAATACGTTTCAGTAGTTATAAAATATTTAAATTTCCGAAAAAATTCAAATATGCATGTTTTTCAAATTTTCGTAATTTTATCTGAAATATCAAAAATTTTTAAAATTAAAAAAAAACTCAAATCGTTTTATTTCAAAAACTTAGAAATTTGCAAAAATACTCAAATTTTTTTAAAGAAAATTGAATTTTGCGAACAAATCTAAATTTTATTATTTATTTAAATTTCAATATTTTTGAAATTCAAAAATATTAAATTTACATGAAACTTTTACTAAACTTTTCATAACCTTTTTAATATTTTTAACTTTCCGTAGGGTAAGTTATAGTAGGTAATCGCAAAAAAATCGAAAATGAAAATTTTTATATATCTTTACGTTTCAGAGGTTTCTGAACATTTTGGCATACCTTAGAAAAAATGGATGTATGTGTGTGTGTGTGTGTGTGTGTGTGTGCGTGTGTGTATGTATGTGCGGATACAAATTTTCGTCGACGATTTCGGGAACACGGATCAACCGATTTGAATAATTCAAAAAACATTCGATTCGTATTGATAAGGAGACGTGCTGATTAGTTTTTGGCGAAGGCAGGCCTAGCCGTTCCGGAGATACGGGGCAAAAAGTGCCGAAAACGGTAACTCAGTTTTTAAGAGAACGGAGCGTCCGATTTTAATAATTCAAAAAACATTTTACTTGTATTGACAAGGTTAAGAATTGATCATATTTTTATAAAGGCAGGTCTAGCGGTTTCGGAGATCTAACGAAAAAAGTAGAAAAAAATGCCATTTGGCGGTCAAAAATGATCATTAGACATATGCACATCAAATTTTCAGATATTTTATAGAGATTTTAACAATAAGTATAAATTTTGTTTATTTTCCTATGGGTTCCGTATCAATGTTTACCCGTTAGACAGCGACGCCGCGCTTACGCGCTTTATATTTTGTCTCTATGCAGTTAAAGCAGCACGATTGCTTTGAAAAACAAGTTCAGATCTTCCAAAATATGTCAAAACTAGCTGTAAGTGGAATTCTGTCTTAAGGCAATTAGGGCATCGTGCCTTAAGGCAAATTGCTGAAACTTCCCGTACCAAAAATTATTATTTTTTTTAAAAACGATTAACATTTCTGAAAAAAATTTACTTCGAAAAAATAAGATTTTTGAGAAACTATAAATTGGACAAAAAATTACTTTTTTTTGAAAAAAAAATTTTTTTTTTAAATTTTTTAAAAAAAAAAAAATTTTTTTTAATTTTTTTGTTTTGAAAAAAAAATGTTTTCTTTATTTTGACATATTTGGAAGATCTGAACTTGTTTTTCAAAGCAATCGTGCTGCTTTAACTGCATAGAGACAAAATATTAGGCGCGTAAGCGCGGCGTCGCTGTCTAACGGGTAAACATTGATACGGAACCCATAGGAAAATAAACAAAATTTATACTTATTGTTAAAATCTCTATAAAATATCTGAAAATTTGATGTGCATATGTCTAATGATCATTTTTGACCGCCAAATGGCATTTTTTTCTACTTTTTTCGTTAGATCTCCGAAACCGCTAGACCTGCCTTTATAAAAATATGATCAATTCTTTACCTTGTCAATACAAGTAAAATGTTTTTAACTTCCCGTAGGGCAAGTTATAGTAATCGCAAAAAAATCGAAAATGAAAATTTTTATATATCTTTACGTTTCAGAGGTTTCTGAATATTTTGGCATACCTTAGAGAAAATGGATGTATGTGTGTGTGTGTGTGTGTGTGTGTGTGTGTGTGTGTGTGCGTGTGTGTATGTATGTGCGGATACAAATTTTCGTCGACGATTTCGGGAACACCGTTCAACCGATTTGAATAATTCAAAAAACATTCGATTCGTATTGATAAGGAGACGTGCTGATTAGTTTTTGGCGAAGTCAGGTCTAGCCGTTCCGAAGATACGGGGCAAAAAGTGCCGAAAACGGTAACTCAGTTTTTAAGAGAACGGAGCGTCCGATTTTAATAATTCAAAAAACATTTTACTTGTATTGATAAGGTAAAAAATCTATCAAATTTTCATAAAGGCAGGTCTAGCGGTTTCGGAGATCTAATAAAAAAAGTAAAAAAAAAATGCCATTTGGCGGTCAAAAATGATCATTAGACATATGCACATCAAATTATCAGATATTTTACAGAGATTTTAACAATAAGTATAATTTTGGTTTACATTCCTATGGGTTCCGTACCAATGTTTACGCGTTAGACGTCGACGCGGCGCTTACGCGGTTTGATATTTCATCTTTATGCAGTTAAAGCAGTACGATTGCTTTGAAAAAAAGTTTAGATCTTTCAAAATATGTCAAAATAAAGAAAACATTTTTTTCAAAAAAAAAAATTAAAAAAAAAAAAATAAAAAAAATTTTTTTTTCAAAAAAAGTAATTTTTTGTCTTATTGTTTGTCAAAAATCTTATTTTTTCGAAGTAATTTTTTTTCAAAAATGTTAATCGTTTTTAAAAAAATATTTTTTGGTACGGGAAGTTACAGCAATTTGCCTTAAGGCACGATGCCTTAATTGCCTTAAGACAGAATTCCACTTACAGCTAGTTTGAATTATTAAAATCGGACGCTCCGTTCTCTTAAAAACTGAGTTACCGTTTTCGGCACTTTTTGCCCCGTATCTCCGGAACGGCTAGACCTGCCTTCGCCAAAAACTAATCAGCACGTCTCCTTATCAATACGAATCGAATGTTTTTTGAATTATTCAAATCGGTTGATCCGTGTTCCCGAAATCGTCGACGAAAATTTGTATCCGCACATACATACACACACGCACACACACACACACACACACACACACACACACACACATACATCCATTTTTTCTAAGGTATGCCAAAATGTTCAGAAACCTCTGAAACGTAAAGATATATAAAAATTTTCATTTTCGATTTTTTTGCGATTACTATAACTTACCCTACGGGAAGTTAATAAAGAAAACATTTTTTTTTTAAAACAAAAAAATTAAAAAAAAATTTTTTTTTTAAAAAAATTTAAAAAAAATATTTTTTTTTCAAAAAAAAGGAATTTTTTGTCCAATTTATAGTTTCTCAAAAATCTTATTTTTTCGAAGTAAATTTTTTTCAAAAATGTTAATCGTTTTTAAAAAAAATAATAATTTTTGGTACGGGAAGTTTCAGCAATTTGCCTTAAGGCACGATGCCCTAATTGCCTTAAGACAGAATTCCACTTACAGCTAGTTATAACAATATTAATTATCCGATAAAGATACTTATTTTGAAGATCAATAATTGTTATGTCAACCTGCAGTATTATATTATCTTTTTATTATCATTACTACATTTAATTCGTAGAATTATGAGATTAAATCATCTTATCTTAATCGTATAGGATACATTGTATATTTGTA